AAAAGTACACACTTTTGGGTGTGTAGTAGAAGAGTAGGCAAGCTTTGGGACATACTATCACATCACTCAACTGCGTCTTTAACGGATGCTCTGTCGCATAGATACATGCACCCTGTCACTGTAAACTGGCCTGTCAATCATCTTGTCACAGTTAACATCCTCCACATTGCATTTCATTTAACTTACTACCGTACTGGAGAGAAAAGAAGTAGCACATTGATCTGCCAGCTGTGGGTCTTTCATGCCGAGAACTCTGCTCATATTTTCTGCATAATGATGCATTTAAAAGTTAACGACCAAACGGATGTTTATAAAAGTTTACATTGCTGTTGCAGATGAAATATAACACAGATAACATTAAATAAATATTTTTTTTTACCAGGTTAACTGTCGAATATTAGTAACTCAGACCCCTTTTTCTAAGCCTCTCTACTTAACCGCCGGTCGCACACATCCGCCACGTTTGTAGTTTTTTTACGCGTTTTATTCGTGTTTGTAGTACTGGACCGAATCCTTCACCAAAGCGCAATGGATTGTGGGCAATATTAGCCATTAGAGTGTGCATGGATCCACACTTCAAAAATCGACCTGAAATAGCAGACCAGTGTTTCTCAGTCAACCCTGGTCCTGAGCGCCCCCCAGCACTGTGCATTGTCTCCCTTATCTGACACCCATTTCAGGTCCTGGAGTTTCTTTTAATGAGCTAATGAGTTGAATCAGGTGTGTTTGATTAGGGAGACACACAAAATGTGCAGTGCTGGGGGGCGCCCAGGACCAGGGTTGAGAAACACTGTAGTAGACCATACGGGGACTTTTGGCATACTCTTTTCAACATACTAAACTTTGGGACACACTTATTCTAATCTCACATACTATTTAGGATGGATAGTATGAACACTGGGACGCAGGGTTAAACACAGGGAAAACAGAACATAAACGTGACACAGCCATGTTGAACTGTGTAGAGAAGATGGGTATTAACACTGTCACTGTGAGGACATTTTGGCACCACAGCCAGCCTTTTTTAATGTAGATGGAAAATACTCCTTTGGTTTAGATTAGCGAGATGTACTTACAATTATTAATATAAGACAATATCTGCATTGATACCTATATACAGGAAGCCCTTGTACTTGTCTATTGTGATGTCACTATTATTATTATTATTGTTATTATTATTAATATTGACGTGTTTGATCACACCGGTGTGATTAGAATGTTCAGCGCATCACGTGATCCAGAGACAGACGCTGAGCGCTTGTCATATTATCACAACTATTCAGTGTTTTCAACCATATAATGCTTATTTTAGGTTCCAGACATTTAAATACACACAAGTAATAGCAAAAAAAATGAATTTATAGTTTGTAAAAATACACACCGATGTCTATGGAAGCGGCAATAATGATCGTTACAAATAGGCTATAATCTGAAGATATATTTTATTGATATCATGCACACATTTTGTAGGTAAACATAAAGTTTACTCTTCTTCCAGTTCCTCCGAGATTTACTTTAATGTCTTTTGGGAGGAGAGGATGAATTTACGTGTTAATCCCACAGCTCGGATTCAGCGTGAACTAACATGGCGGCGCCCATCACCTGCTATAGATCGACTAACATGGTCATTATAAAAATGTTTAAACTACCAAATACATTTACTTGCACACATTTGAAAATCTGAATATCAGATATTTCATAATATAGTGAACACGTTTGTGAATATTTATAATAAAAAAGGAAAAATTAAATAAAAGCGATACACGGTGGAACTGTGACGTCACTTTGTAGGCAAAAACCCGGAATCGAGTTAGCATTTTAGTACTTCTGGTTTCATCGTCCCAGATAGTGATGGGCAAATGAAGCCTCGTGAAGCACTGAGGCTTTCCTCTGACTGTTTCGGGAAAAGATTCAAAGCTTCGAGAGTGTCGAAAACAGCGCCATCTGGTGGTTAGTAAAAAATAAAGCAGCCAAAAGCCTGTGAAAGGCACTCCGTAGGACGAAGCATCCACCACACATTCCATAGATCAATTCTTGTTACGTGCACAAATAAAAGCCTAACAGTGTGTGTGTTTGTTTTTGTTGAATTTCTGTCTCTGATCAATTAATTTACCCATTAAACTGTGCAATTTAATACCATTACGAATATCAATATGATGTAATAGAAGAATAACACATATGAATTGCATATTTAATTTTCCTGAAATAATTTGTATTGTTCATATTACTTGTATGACTGGGTATCTAAAATGTAACTGAAAAAGTCAGAATTAAAACTTATTCGTGAAGTAAGATCTGCGGGGATCAAATATTTCAACACGGAAAGTGAATCGCGCACGTGACTGGACAGAAAGTGAAGCTTCGTTTGACATTGATCATGTGATTTCTATGTTAACACCAAGCGGCAACCTCCCGCTCTCTCTCGTGAAGCCAACACGGAAGTGACTTAAATTGTAATTCGTCAACTGGCCGCTAGAGGCGGGCTGCAAAAGAGAGTCAATCCCATAGACTCCCCATGTTAAAATGCCCAACTTTACAGCAGAAAAAAACATGTATGTAGTCTGGTTCAAAACATGATTTATAGCTAATTTTGCCCTTCATGAAAACTGTGAGGGGGGTGAATTTTTTTATAACTCTTCCGTTTAAATTATATTAAACCTTAAAGTTCTGCATAATTAAGGGCGTGTCCATTTGAGTGACAGGTGGACTGCCACTGCTGTCACCACCGTCGAGCTAGGTGGGCGTGGTTTCAGCAACCTGCTCCCGCCTCTTTGCCATTTTTGATTATCCGGGAGTGACGCGCGGTGACGTGCTGCCAAGATGGCGACGGCCGGCTCCGCCCACTTTGAGCTTCAAAAACTCTCTTCAGAAACCTACGGGTGACGTCACGGACACTACGTCCATGTTTTTATACAGTCTATGGTTAACACAAGCTTCGAATCGAGGCTTCATCTGGCACGCCCACTTATTCTCGACACAAGCTCCAAATGTCACATCACTAATCCCAAAGTCAATGGGTTTTTTGAATGGGAGTTTGATTAAATCCCCTAAAATAAGATCCGTGGTTCACATAAGCTCAAAATACTTTCACGTTTTATTCTGAAAACATAAAACACACCAGTTACACCCCACTCGTGATTTTTTAAAACTGTTACGTTTCTTAAAAAAGACGGTTGCTAACAAGTTGCAGACGCTGTCGGAGACATTAAACGTCATCACACCGAACGGTTTATCAATTTACAGTATTTTCCAAATGTAGTATAATTTATAGTACAATTAATTGTAGAATAACCAATTAATAGTTTACCGCATTTTATATTGTTGTTCGACAATGTTTTTTTGCTTTGCCCTGAAATGCAACACAAGTCTTCGGATGGAAGACTCTGGGTTCGTATCATATTACGATTATTCCATGTAAACACCACATTTACCGGTTTAGTCACAGTGAAAGTGAAACTTTAATGATGCATAGTGCTTAAAGCCACATTCAAATTAAATGTTTACGGCCATATTAAGCTGTTATAGTTTGAGGATTTTCTAGAAGCAAGGATAAAATAACATTTTGTGTACCCACCCTAACAAAATGATAGCTGAAATGTGGCACTTTATTCACTAAAATAAGTTTAATCTTACCATATTCAAAAACTTGTGCACTCTGTTATTTAATAGATTAAATGTACTACAATAGTATTGAATAATACGTTCTTAATTAAAATATTCATATTAATCAAGGATTTATTGACTTTTAATGCACCTTATTTCAAAATGTACAGAAATGTGTGCTTTCATGTCATTTAGTTATGATTATTTCATTTATTCACTATACTATTAATTACTAATGTCTGATTTCAGTTTTAGTGTGGCTCTAGTTTTGTATTTATTCCAGTTAATATGAAAAGCTCATGTAGCGTAATTCATATACAGAGTAAATCCTTTTCACCGAACGTGTTAAAAATAAGTTTGATAAAGTTGTCGGGAGCATGGTTCTGGTGACGTTGAAGGCGAGCGACCGTAGTGCTGTAGTTCGTTTATAGCCTAAGTTTAGCTTTTAAGTTCTGGCACTTTTATTAAGGCTTCAAAATTCATTAAAGTTATATTATTTTGTGAAGATTATCTTGATGGACAAAATGTGCAAGTTTCATGAAATATGATTGAACACAGAACTTATTTTTTGCAATAATCCAAAAGCCTTTGGAAAAATCCTATTGGCTTTTTGTAGAGGGAACCAGTGCGATGCTAACAGCCGATCCATCTACAAAGTGACGTTATAGTTCCCCCACTCTATTGTGGCTACAGTGTGTCACATGACAAGCATGACGCATCGCCATGGAAACAATAAGGCGATACATTCTAAAATAACAGTCGCCTAAAAAACTCACCCTGGGGGCTCAGCTAGAATATTTTAAACTCACGTGCGAAAGGGTTAAAATTACGGTTGATGGACAAAATGTGCAAGTTTCATGAAATATGATTGAACACAGAACTTATTTTTTGCAATAATCCAAAAGCCTTTGGAAAAATCCTATTGGCTTTTTGTAGAGGGAACCAGTGCGATGCTAACAGCCGATCCATCTACAAAGTGACGTTATAGTTCCCCCACTCTATTGTGGCTACAGTGTGTCACATGACAAGCATGACGCATCGCCATGGAAACAATAAGGCGATACATTCTAAAATAACAGTCGCCTAAAAAACTCACCCTGGGGGCTCAGCTAGAATATTTTAAACTCACGTGCGAAAGGGTTAATGTTATTATTGGTTGGAAGTCGGACTTGATCTTGGCCTTAACTTTGTGTTCTTTACTGAAAGAAACAGCATCTTGTTTTGTTTTTTTCTATATCTGTAGGTACTGTATGCCACAAAGCCAATTAACTAAATAAAAATTCAACTAAAACCTTTAGTTTCTGGCAACTGTATGATTACTGTCTATGAAAACAGCACTAAGTAAACAGCTACTACATTTTTTCCTACAAACAAAGACTTGTTTTCTCTCTCCTCAGGGTTCAGTGCTGAGAGCTCTGTGTTTGTGCAGACAGGTGCTTCTGTTCAACTGGATATACAGACACAAGAACTACCAGAGTTTTATTTTTTATCCTGGAGTAATTATAAATCAGAGAATATAGTTACATATATAAATGTAACTAAAGAAGTAATACCTCACCTTTTCTACAAGGACAGAGTGGATTTCAATAAAACAACCTTTTCTCTGACACTGAAGAACATGCAGAAGACAGACAGTGGACTCTACAGAGCAAAAACAAGTGGACAATCAGACAACAATATTGTTACATACAGAGTATCTGTTATGGGTGAGCGTAATGTATACTGCTTAATCTATGATGTAATTATAAGACTATATGTTAATTATATTCAGTTATAGTTTATTTGAAAACAATATAAAATCGAGCAAAATCTGCTGCACATATTTTACTATGTTAACAACATTACCTATGTTAATTTGAGGAAGTCTGAACAAAATAGTATGAATAAATTATGTTTGGTCTTGGTTTACTTGCGTTTTGAATTGGCAAGTTCTGGCCTCACTGAATGTGTGTGTGTGTGTGTGTGTGTGTGTGTGTGTGTGTGTGTGTGT